TCTTAAACTCACATTTATTCACAGTATTTTCCTCAAGCAATCCTCTTACTAAACGACCCGCCCCGCCCCTACTTTTTCTTGTCTATAATGACAGGTTCTCTAGAATAATACAAAACTCTTCTTCTTCTTCTTCTTCTTCTTCTTCTTCTTCTTCTTCTTCTTCTTCTTCTTCTTCTTCTTCTTCTTCTTCTTCTTCTTCTTCTTCTTCTTCTTCTTTCTTCTTGTGCTTCCGGCCTGACAAGAGCGTTTGGTCCGTTGTATTATGGTTCACGGATAGGTTAGGAATTCTGCGCCTTTTAGCCCAAGACATTCAATTTCAGCAAATCCCTAATTATTTGCCTCTTACGACATGCTAGTTAAAGGGGTGTGAGCCTAAACGGGGTTCACAGGGAAATCACAGACACTTGAAAAGAGTATGATAAATGGAGGAAACAATTCATTGTTTTGAAGACCAACAGACAGGTCAAGTTAAATAGACAACAAATAAAGAAATAACGTGGGGAAATAAGACAAGAGAAATAGGACATACAGCTGCTATCTTGGACTGACTGAATGACTTTCTAACCCACCTCACACAAGCGATAAACACCCGATGACACCAAGTGCCACCATGTGGATGAGGATCACCCGTGGAGAGGTCCGAGAAACCGCGTTTAGCCATTAGACCATATTTATGGCAGGGCTATATTGCGGCCCCTGGCAAGAGCCAGGGTAGGGCTTCAAAATAACGAAAAATTGCATCCCACAAGGGGATAAACATACAAAGGACTGTTGGAAGAAAAGCGAGGTCAATAATAATAATAGTAATAGTAATAATGATGATAACAATCAAATTAATAATAATGTGCTGTATGGCGCAAACGCACCAAAAAAAAAAAAACAGGAAAACTGTATTTATGAAATAATATAAAATGTATGAATAAATATTTAATAAAATAGAAATCTACACATGGTTAGTCCTGACATAAATTTTAAAGGTAAGGGCGAGATGAAGCTGAACAATAAAGGATACGACCTTACACAAAGGTAAGAAACTCGGTTTTTTATCAAAGAGAATGCTAACATTAATTTAGTTGTTTCCCTTATTAGACGAGCCATAAATTTGCCAGGTGTGAAGCCCAATGACTTCTGTATTGGGTAACCACATGTTAAAACCTCACCAAGATTGTTTTGTTCCCTTTGTTGTTTGTTTGTTTGTGAACCCGGACCACAAGGAGTTCGTCACCCGGTCTCCGCGCAATCCGGTTTAGCCAACTACGCTAGAGAGCCGGGCTTTTGTTCCCTTTAAACTGACCTAGGATCACGGCTCGAGCTAGCCTAAAAGTGTGTCCGGGAAGGTGGTGTGGTCTCTCTTTCCCTAGGAACAGCTCATCATGGAAGACAATCGACGAATAGATGCTCCCGAAACGCAGGTCAGCTGCATCAAACACTTATCTTGAAGCTTCCCAACAAAACCAAATACCTGCAGTCCAGTATAAGGATGAGAGTTTAACATGATTGAGGAGGCGACGGTGTTACTTTGGGTCCATGGTTTAGGGATAGACTTTGAAACGAGCAGGTGCTCAATACATGCAGACCTGCCCCCCCCCCCCCGCCCCTTTCCCCCATCAAGAAAAAATAATAACCCCTACTGCTGATAATTTTCAGACAGACAGACAGACACACAAAAGGACAGACAGTAAGCGACAGACAGGTGGCAGGTAGATACACATTAGATACTGAGCCGGTGGATAGAGCTACAGACAGACTTATAACGAACAAACGAGCTCATAGACAAATGGACAGACTAGCCAGCTGTCACCAGACATATATATGGCTGAAAATAAAGACAGACCTAAATTAGACAGACATACACACAACAGACAGATAAATAAATGAAAGTTCGCGGAGCATGCTTTAAAGTCACATGCAAATATAAATACATTTTTCAACAAGAAGAAACAGCGGAGACGACTTATCCTCACAAACTTGGGATGCTCAAACTACAGCCGCAAACAAAACACGAGGCCGAAGGCAGACTGACGTTCTCTTCAAAATCAGAACAATTTTGTTGTTGTTGTTAGTATCATTATTCTTCTGTGTTGGGTGGTTTAAAAAGAAAGACAATTATTGCTTTCAGACAGTGGTAAGAGTTGCGCGTGAAAGAAATATTCCTAAACGCAGAAATAGATTTAGGTATCCACTACTGACAAACTCTAAAGTGGTGCGGGCACAACACTTTGCCGAGTCAGCAAATCGAAATAAAAGGTTCCACAGGCCTCAGGTGTCCAGCAGGCCATAGTTTGAGCACCCATGCATAAATATATCACATGAAATTAATTGATCAGCTTTTACTTTCTGAGATTTCAAACTAGCTTTATTTATTGTCAAGGTGAAATTGATAAATAGCTTATACCTATCACTTTTCTGATAAATCACGTTTCAGGTCTATTGAAACGTCATTTTTGATGTATTACATTCTAACTTTCATGGAAATCAGGACAAGCTTTCCCAAGCATTTCATATCACAGAAAAGTGAAGAAATGATTGCCAGGTAAAATCTTTTATATTTAAACTTCTTTATACCTCAGCCAACCACAGACTAGTGCGATTCGTGGAAGCAACAGCTATAAACCGTTTCAGTCCATTATTATGTAGACAAAAGGACATGGTCGTCAACTTGCGGTTTCCCCGGTGAAACGAGCAGTTGTGAATGTAGTCGAGTTTTTTTTTTTTTTTTTTTCAGTAAGAAGGATTAATTTATTTGCTTCATTTTAATCAGTGTTACTGTAGTAGGCACCTTCGAAATATAAAAGGCAATAAATTATGCAATCTAGTGTTTGTGTCTTCTCAGTGCAAATTACATCATCCTTCCATTTGGAGCAAGATCAACAGCTTTGTGGTTAATCTGCTTCAATTGGTGTTGCTCTGCATCTGCCAAGCTGCTTCAGTCGGTGCCCCTCTCGCTGGCTGCTTCAGTTCGAGCTTCACTGCTAGACTGCCTCGGCTTGTGTTGTTCTGCATCTGCCAAGCTGCTTCTGCCCCTCTCGTTGGCTGCTTCAGTTCGAGCTTCACTGCTAGACTGCCTCGGCTTGTGTTGTGCTGCTAGGATACTTGATTTGGTTTTCCTTTTCGAGGCTGCTTTAGTTGCTCTAAAATGTAGGGCTATTTGTGAAGATGATTCTGTTTTCAACTGCTTGTAGGGGTCGAATGTTGGCGCCAACAAATGAATGAGTCTTCGTTCCTTGTTTGAGTGTTCGAAATTTGAGCAGCTGAAGAAAAGATAGAGAACATTCTTTGCTCGATTTGCATATTTGAGTAAAAAAGATGGCGGTTAAATGATATATTATCTAAAGGTCATGTCGGCTTCTGTGACTTAGGCGTTGCAAAAGCGCTTCGTAATGTCGGGGTGCCGGGTTCGATCCCTGCTGTGGACGGTTTGTCTTGCAATGGTTTCGATTGTGGTACCGAGAGCCGACCGTCCAGTGGCAATGGCAAACTAAAACAAAAGTAAAGTTCTCTATTCCACGCCATTATTCGTATAGGGCATATAGGGCTAGATCTACATTTTTATAGACCAATCGGCACAAGGTGGGTGATGTGGTCAGCATCATGCCGGCCGCCTTTACTTCCCGGGACTGCACCCGGTACCCACTCAAGGTTGGGTTGACCTGGGAGCCAAGGTCATTTTTGAAAAAAATGGCAAACTACTGGACATAAATTTGCCTAGAAAAAAAACAATAACAGCCAGAAAGTGCTGGGGTTGGTTCTACAACGTCCTGGAAAGGATACGCAACTAAAAATCAAAAAATCTAAATGTTATAACCTAAGGGATCAGGGGCGCTAACACTTATAAAATATTGGCAAGGGGAACTCAACCCCTTACATTTTTAGAGGAGTGGGATGGGGTTCAAAAGGAGTAAGTTTAGTTTAAACACACACAAACACACACACACACACACACACACACACACACACACACATACACTGACATATATCTATACATACATACATACATATAACTTTCTGAATGGAAGGAAAATTTAATAATCTCTTCTCTGTAATGTACGGCAAAGTAAAGGGGGCCTGTATGATAGTGCCAAGAACAGCCACCAAGTGCGATTAATCAGCTTAACTGTCCATTCTTTACATTAAATTTTTCGTTGTTTGAAGCCCTATTCTGGCTCTTTCCAGGGGCCGCAATATAGCCAGGCCATAAATATGAAATAAAGTCTGAACGCGGTTTCTGGGGACCCTTTCACGGTGATTCTCACCGACACGGTGGCACATTGTGTCATCGGGTGTTTATCGCTTGTGTGATGTCCTGGTGGGGTAGAAAGTCAGTCACATGGTGATATTTGGTCTAAAGTTAACTTTTAGAACTTCTAGTGATTGTGGCGTTAATTAAAAGAAATTTGTAGAAACAACTGAAACAAATATCACTGTTAAATTCCAAATTGCAGCTCGAATTATTTCTGCTAATTTAACTCGTCTGCTGGCCTCCATTTAGGAGCTGTAGAGGTGTAGCGGTTAGACGCTGGACTGCAGGTTGGGAAGTCGTGAGTTCAGATCCTGACGAAGCTGAGCTTCAAAAAATTACCTTGGCTCTATTGTCGACTCAGCTTTAAATGAGTGCAAGGTAATGTCATGGGAAGTAAAGGCAGCCGGTGTAATGTTAACCGCATCACTCACTGAGTAGCCCGACAAGCCTGAAGGCGTAGAAAATGGTCCTTGACTTGACTACAGTATGCAGTAATGGTAGTAACAATACTTATTATTATTACCCATTGAAAACAAGAATGATTTCTCTTTAGCTTTTCCCTACCTCCTGGAAAATGGGTAGGGAAACTAAGCCCACCCCCCCCCCCGAAAATTTATTCTCCCCTACCCCCACCCCCCCCCCCCCCCGAAAATTTATTCTCCCTCCCCCCCCCCTTCCCCCCCCCCTTCCCCCGTGTTCTCAGACATTGACTGTTAAGAGGAGTCAGATGTGCCTACAGACGTTTGACCTGTTGACCTACCTGCTCAACGGAAATCGCCTGTGGTCTGGCGTACACTGACCAGATGATGTTCTCCGTACAGGGGGGCGTGGTCAGGCTACCTCGGTACCGAAAAATCGGCACACTCGGACCTGGCAGTATACTGCTGATATCGACGCTTCCACCGTCCACCTCGGATCCTACAAATATCACACAGGGAGCAAGTGAGAACAGTAACCGACACAGTCAAAACATCTGGTAAAAGCATAACTGGGAAGTCATCATCATCATGTATCAGTCAGAACGTCGCTGTCATTGTGACACGCCGGAAATCAAATTGGACCACTTTCACTTTTCTGCCTCATGAACGTCCAAAGAGTTCATGGGAACCCGTGACCAGTGTCGTGCTGGTCTATCCTACCTCTTCCACGAAGAACTATATCTTCTGACAGAATTACCTCCAAATAATTATATAGTGTAACATCGATCAAAATAAAAATTATTTCGTTAATGATAATTTTTTTTAATTTGTATCCATAATATTTTAATACCCTCCTGTAGTAATTGTATTCAATTTATTTTTATTTTGTTTCTTAATTTGTTTTGTTTTTTGTCATGGTTCTGCTGATGAAGGTTATCACAGCAACGTCATCTGTTTGGTCATTGGTAATGGTTTTGCATAACTGACATGAATTTTTCTGTCTACTTTACCATTTTCTCTCTTCTCTCCTCCCTATCGTTTGCAATCCGAAGTACAACAGTTTCCAGGAATCGATGCTGTTATAAGACAATTCATCCCACCCCCTCCCCCTCACCCCCACCCCCTCCCTCATTTTACGATACTCAAACGGATAACGAACTTTATTGTCAAAGAATCACATATTGGGCGCGCAAGCTGTCGTTTCAAACACTCCTCTTTCCTACTAGCATTGTATTTTATCTTTATTCATCACATTACCTATTGACTGCCGATTGTGTGACCAGCAGCAAAAGTCCAATACGTGAATTACTGACTGGCTGCTTGAGGAAAACAAAATCACTTCACCTCCAACAAGTACCCCCAAAGGGAAAGCTGTAAGTTTTCATTAGGCTACGTGTGCCATATAATATGGTTTAGCACTGCTCGCTGCAAAGCAGCCACGAAAAAGATTCCTGCAGTGTTGACTCGATCTCTAGAGACAGACTCAAATACTGTCACGACTGGCGATAAAGTCGTCTACCGGCAAGCCATTGGGAGCCCCGCTCGCCTAAGAAAAGCGAATTGCATAGCTCGGTTTACTTACATAAGCAAACAAACTACCCATATAAGATCTATGTGGATACCACCAGGCGTTGTTGGTATGTGCTTCAGACCCCGTATGTTTGAACCATTCGGTAGTTTGGACATGTGAAGGGTGGAAGAATCAAATACAGCGCTTTTGGGAAAACTGCGAATGGAAAGAGAGTTACTGAAAGTAATTAAAGAGAGAAAGAGACTATTGAAATATTTTGGTTACATTTTTTCTGGGGGAATGGTGGAGGACAAGAGAGCAAGAAATTGATAAAGAGACATGTAGGCGGACAAGAGATGAGCGAACGGAAGTCTACGAGTGTACAACCAAGATGACAGACATAGGGGGTTGTAGATCCATGGCAACCAACCTTTTTTGTGGAGCCGGCCCCTGATTGATTGATTAATTGATTGATTGATTGATTGATTGATTGTCTAGATGTGTGATGTGGTCACTGTGTTGCGGGCACAGATTTCGTCACAGGCAATTTCATTGCATCCCTCCTCGGCTGATTAACCGGACTGCCCAAGCTAATGTCTTTAATCTCAAAAACAGTTGCCAGACAATCATTATATACTTACCAATATCTACCACAGAGTCCAGTTTGCTGGTACAAATGTTGAGTCCTGAATTACTGCTCTGAAATGTACAAATAAATACAAGATAAAGATACATCTATATGATCTAAATGTTGTTGCTGGCACACAAGGCATTCCCAAATGATCTATGTTGCTGCCGATCTGCTGCTTTTCTGCTCCATGTATCTCATGACGGTTTACATACTCTCATTTCTCTTTCCCTGTTCTTCTCCATGTATCTCATGACGGTTTACATACCCTCATTTATCTTTCCCAGTTCTTCTCTGTGTTTCCGTGGCCCTAAACGTCTCATTTGCCTTATTTGCTGTCTACTGGAGGGTTGTCTTTTCCAAAGTAAGAAAATATTTCCCCCTCCCCCCACCATTATGTGTCACATTGGGCTTACAGTCTACTTCTCCATCCCGTTCTATCCTGATAAATCAGATCAATATCATGGATGGAATCTAGTCTAGCAGCTTTGGCCTCTCTCATCCCCGTTCCTCTGACCTTGTCTTCACCTCTGTAATCCCTTTATTTCTCATTTTTGATACCGGTTTGATGATTCTCTGCTGGTTTCCTTTCAGGATGTGTCCAATGTACCGCCATCTTCTCTGTCTTATAGCTGTTGATTCTAGTGGTTGCCGAGACTTTTCTCTTCTTCCTTCACTCCTTTTCAATTCACCCCATTTTATTTTTATCAGTTTCTTTAGACATATTTTTTCAAATGAATTTAGCTTTCGTTCCATCTCTTTTGTAGGTCTCCAGCTTTCACTTGCATACGTTAAAATTGAAACGCATTGGGATCGAAAATATTTTCTGCAGGTTTCACTGGCAAATAATTTATTTACAGGATGGGGGAGCTGACCTCACTCTCAACCCTCTTCCTTTCTTATCTTGGCTTGGGACCGGCAATGGCGGAGACATCCATTGTTTCAGATGCAACATTAGGTATTGTAGGTATACAAATAAGTGCAGTTTAACAGTGACAAAAAAAAAAAGGGGGGGGGGGGTGGGAGGGGTTGGAACTTAGGGGCTTAGTGAGGCTGACTGCCTCTGTTTCTAGATCCTGGTCCTCAGGTATCTTCACTGCACCAATCCCCTCTAAAGCATGGGAGAAGGGGAAAGGAGTGGGGATGACTATCTCACAGTGCTTCGGTTTCTTGAGTCCTCTAAAGACAACTGATAAATGGTTTCATAAGGTTAACACAATGTTCCTTCTTCTTCCTACTAATCATAGGCTGTTAACTCAGGCAAAAAGCTTTGGTTGTTCGTCCACGCCTGGACTGTTCTTGATCCAAAATATGAGGTTTTCTGCCATTCTTTTCACAGATTCGGCTTATTTGTATGCAGACTGTTGGTTTCTTGCCTTTCCTTCAGATGCACTCCGACTTTGAAGGAAACACCCCTTCTTATTAGTCCCTTCTACGACATGCTTGCAGGGAAAAAGTGGGGATCTTCTCTCTTCTCCAAAATAGAACCCACATAGAGATCCACTCTTTTAATTGTGTCAGGAACTGAAACCCACATAGAGATCCACTCTTTTAATTGTGTCGGGAACTGAAACTCACATAGAGATCCAATCTTTTAATTGTTTCAGAAACGGGAACCCACATGGAGACCCACTCTTCTACTTGTGTCGGAAACTGGAACCCACATGGAGACCCACTCTTCAACTTGTGTCGGAAACTGGAACCCACATGGAGACCCACTCTTCTATTTCTGTCGGTAACTGGAACCCACATGGAGACCCACTCTTCTTTTTCTGTCGGAAACTGGAACCCACATGGAGACCCACTCTTATATTTCTGTTGGTAACTGGAACCCACATGGAGACCCACTTTTCTACTTGTGTCGGAAACTGGAACCCACATGGAGACCCACTCTTTTATTTGTGCTGGAAACTGGAACCCACATGGAGACCCACTCTTCTACTTGTGTCGGAAACTGGAACCCACATGGAGACCCACTATTTTATTTGTGCTGGAAACTGGAACCCACATGGAGACCCACTCTTTTATTTGTGCTGGAAACTGGAACCCACATGGAGACCCACTCTTCTACTTGTGTCGGAAACTGGAACCCACATGGAGACCCACTATTCTATTTGTGTCCGGAAACAGACCGTATGTAATACAGAGATAGTTAGGGAAAGAATAAAAATGCCAAGCGATGAACTCACCTTGCTGACCTCGTACAGAACTGCGATGACGTGAATTCCGTCACTGGCTCCAGAGGCTTCCTGCAGGTTTCGATACTTCCGGTTGAAGGTCACGATGTGTATCTGTACAAACAATGCACACATATATTATTTAGTTGGAACATACATTTAGTTACATAGGCGCTTATTTGTAGGCAGACTGGTAGTTCCTTGCCTGCTTCTCTGGCAAATGCACACAGTAGATATCTCCTCCTCCCCCCCCCCCCCCCCCCAAAAGCGCACAGTAGATCTATTCTGCGCCACTGCTCCCAGATGTACACAGTAAATCTATTCTGCGCTCCAGCTCCCCAGATGCACATAGTAGATCTTACCACCACCACCCTCTCCTCTAGATGCACACAGTAGATCTTACCACCACCACCCCCCTAGATGCACACAGTAGATCTTACCACCATCACCCCCCAGATGCACACAGTAGATCTTACCACCACCACCCCCCTAGATACACACAGTAGATCTTACCACCACCCTCTCCTCTAGATGCACAAAGTAGATCTTACCACCACCCTCTCCTCTAGATGTACACAGTAGAACTTACCACAACCCTCTCCTCTAGATGCACACAGTAGATCTTATCACCACCCTCTCATCTAGATCCACATAGTAGATCTTACCACAACCCTCTACTCTAGATGCACACAATAGATATTACCACCACAACCCTCTCCTCTAGATGCACAAAATAGATATTACCACCACCACCCTCTCCTCTATATGCACACAATAGATCTTACCACCACCACCCTCTCCTCTAGATGCACATAATAGATCTTACAACCACCCTCTTCTCTAAATGCAGATAGCAGATCTTACCACCACCACCATCTCCTCTAGATGCAGATAGCAGATCTTACCACCACCACCCTCTCCTCTAGATGCACACAGTAGATGTTACCACCACCACCCTCTCCTCTAGATGCACACAGTAGATGTTACCACCACCACCCTCTCCTCTAGATGCACACAGTAGATGTTACCACCACCCTCTTCTCTAGATGCACGCAGTAGATGTTACCACCACCCTCTTCTCTAGATGCACACAGTAGATCTTACCACCACCACCTCTCCTCTAGATGCACACAGTAGATCTTACCACCACCACCCTCTCCTCTAGGTGCACACAGTAGATGTTACCACCACCACCCTCTCCTCTAGATGCACACAGTAGATCTTACCACTACAACCCCCCTAGATGCACACAGCAGACCATCAATAGACGGTTACAAGTACAAATACACTGAGTTTCAAAATTCTTTCACGTGCCTTTGAAACATGTTTGAAACCCCCTCCCACCCCATGCCACAATTGGCTCTCCTCCGAACTTCTACCCCAGTAATCTGGCCTGAACTATCCGTTCGGTGCGTAGTCAGATTGAAAATATGCCAGCTCCGTTTAACGAAACAATTGCTCTAACAGGGTCTCAGCGATATGTTACTTGCGGACCTGTTTCTTATTGTTTCTGATTACCTGACAATTCTAAGAGACGCAACACTGCAGACGATAGTAGCAGACGACGAAAATAGCTAAAGTAGACACTTTCCATCGTCGAACTTTCTGCAGACGACGAACAAATCGCGGCAAATCTCGGACAAACGACACAAATGCTCTATCTAACAGGCTCTCAGCGATATGTTACTTGCGGACCTATGTCTGTGACAATGCCTCACCGCCGACCGTATCCCCCGCTACGCGCGGCGCGGATAGGGGCGAAACTAGATGGCTGGGACTCACGAGCGGCAGCTACCGCATCTCCTGCAACGTTCTCCAGTTACTGTGCTCGTGAGTCCCAGGCACCTAGTTTAGCCTCCCATCCGCGCCGCGCGTAGCGGCGCGGGGAATACACTCGGCGGTGAGTTTAATCGCGTTTCGCGCATGCCGACAAGTCAGACATCTTTTTTTTTTTTTTTTAGTTGCGTATCCTTTACAGGACGTTGCAGAACAAACCCCAGCATTTTTGGCTGTTGTGGTTTTTCTAGGCAAGTTTACGTCCAGTAGTTTGCCATTGCCGCTGGACGGTCGGCTTCTCGATACCACTGTCGAAACCAACGCAAGGCCCGCAGCTGGGATCGAACCCGGCACCACGGCATTACAAAGCGCGTTCGTAACACCTAAGCCACAGACGACGACGTCTGACATCTACCGCTGCTAAACTCTCAATCGGAAGAACAGCATTGTTGATCTGCGTGGGAGCGCGCGGTCTATCGCTGTCATCGTCTGTAATGTCTCGAAATTGTCAACGCTCGCTTTTATCGTCTGCTAATATCGTGTGCAGAAAACGCTGGACATTGTCACCGGTGGCTTTTATCGTCTGCTACTATCGTGTGCAATGTTGCGTCTCGTGACATTGTAAGTAAGGTACTCCTAGTTTTGCGGCAATTTGTTCCTCGGCGGGAACTCCGACAAGTCGGTATTTTTAATCTGACTACGCACCGAACGGATAGTTCAGGCCGGATTACCGCGGGGGTAGAAGTTCGGAGGAGAGCCCCACAATTTTTCTTATCGGACGAAATCTAATGTTTTAGATATAATGACCATGCAGTCCACGAGAGTTTACTCACCTCTAGAGGGTAGGCCTTGCCAGCGATTCGATGCTCAGAACCGTCCTTGTCGCTTTGACCCCAGTGAAAGTGCAGGTTAGTGACCACAAACTGACCAGGTAGAGAACCGCCCTCGATGATCACGTTGGACGTGGTCGGTTTCATGAACACTGGACAGTAGAAGGTAGTAGTACGTTGACACGACGTCTCTTTGTCTGTTTATTTGTGTGTCTGTTGTCTGCCTGTCTTTTTCTCTGTCTGTCGTATGTCTGTATATTTGTCTGACTGCTGTTTGTCTGTTGTCTGACTATCTATCGATTAGTTCGTATTGTCTTTTTGTCTGTATGTATTTGTCTGTCTGTTATTCATCTATTTCTTGTCTGTCTATTTGTCTGTTTTGTTGCTTCTCTGTTCATCTGTCACTTGTCCCATTGTCTTTTAATCTATCTGTTGTCTGTCTGTCTGTCAGAGAACCGCCAAGATAATCACGTTGCAGATAATACCTTTAAAGGACCATGGAGAGGGGAAGATGAGACTTAGTGAATGGAAAGTTGTAACAGCACGTCCTGGAAAGTTGTAACAGCACGTCCTAGAAAGTTGTAACAGCACGTCCCAGAAAGTTGTAACAGCACGTCCTAGAAAGTTGTAACAGCACGTCCTAGAAATTTGTAACAGCACGTCCTAGAAAGTTGTAACAGCACGTCCTAGAAAGTTGTAACAGCACGTCCTAGAAATTTGTAACAGCACGTCCTTACAGTCTTGCTTGTCACATTCGCCATCGCCATGGGCTGTGAGTCCTATACCTCCTCAAAGCACAATATAAAGTATCGTCTAGAAAGACGGAAAGGTGCCAGTCATCATCAGTAGTAGTAGCAGTAGTAGTAGCGGTGATGGTAGTGGTGGTAGTAGTAGCAGTAGTAGTAGCGGTGATGGTAGTGGTGGTAGTAGTAGCAGTAGTAGTAGCGGTGATGGTAGTGGTGGTAGTAGTAGCAGTAGTAGTAGCGGTGATGGTAGTGGTGGTAGTAGTAGCAGTAGTAGTAGCGGTGATGGTAGTGGTGGTAGTAGTAGCAGTAGTAGTAGCGGTGATGGTAGTGGTGGTAGTAGTAGCAGTAGTAGTAGCGGTGATGGTAGTGGTGGTAGTAGTAACAGTAGTAGTAGCGGTGATGGTAGTGGTGGTAGTAGTAACAGTAGTAGTAGATGTGATGGTAGTGGTGGTAGTAGTAACAGTAGTAGTAGCGGTGATGGTAGTGGTGGTAGTAGTAACAGTAGTAGTAGAGGTGATGGTAGTGGTGGTAGTAGTAACAGTAGTAGTAGAGGTGATGGTAGTGGTGGTAGTAGTAACAGTAGTAGTAGGGGTGATGGTAGTGGTGGTAGTAGTAGCAGTTGTAGTAGCGGTGATGGTAGTGGTGGTAGTAGTAACAGTAGTAGTAGCGGTGATGGTAGTGGTGGTAGTAGTAACAGTAGTAGTAGCGGTGATGGTAGTGGTGGTAGTAGTAGCAGTAGTAGTAGCGGTGATGGTAGTGGTGGTAGTAGTAGCAGTAGTAGTAGCGGTGATGGTAGTGGTGGTAGTAGTAACAGTAGTAGTAGCGGTGATGGTAGTGGTGGTAGTAGTAACAGTAGTAGTAGCGGTGATGGTAGTGGTGGTAGTAGTAGCAGTAGTAGTAGCGGTGATGGTAGTGGTGGTAGTAGTAACAGTAGTAGTAGCGGTGATGGTAGTGGTGGTAGTAGTAGCAGTAGTAGTAGCGGTGATGGTAGTGGTGGTAGTAGTAACAGTAGTAGTAGCGGTGATGGTAGTGGTGGTAGTAGTAGCAGTAGTAGTAGCGGTGATGGTAGTGGTGGTAGTAGTAACAGTAGTAGTAGCGGTGATGGTAGTGGTGGTAGTAGTAACAGTAGTAGTAGCGGTGATGGTAGTGGTGGTAGTAGTAACAGTAGTAGTAGCGGTGATGGTAGTGGTGGTAGTAGTAGCAGTAGTAGTAGAGGTGATGGTAGTGGTGGTAGTAGTAACAGTAGTAGTAGCGGTGATGGTAGTGGTGGTAGTAGTAACAGTAGTAGTAGCGGTGATGGTAGTGGTGGTAGTAGTAGCAGTTGTAGTAGAGGTGATGGTAGTGGTGGTAGTAGTAACAGTAGTAGTAGCGGTGATGGTAGTGGTGGTAGTAGTAACAGTAGTAGTAGCGGTGATGGTAGTGGTGGTAGTAGTAGCAGTTGTAGTAGAGGTGATGGTAGTGGTGGTAGTAGTAACAGTAGTAGTAGCGGTGATGGTAGTGGTGGTAGTAGTAGCAGTAGTAGTAGAGGTGATGGTAGTGGTGTAAGTAGTAACAGTAGTAGTAGCGGTGATGGTAGTGGTGGTAGTAATTGTAACTGCAGCATTAAAAATATCAGTAGTAAATCTTCAAACTGATAGGCAGAATGGCAGACAAAAAGACACATAACTGTTAGCGCTACTTAAGCATGCACGTACAGCCAGACAGACAGACCGACAGACAAACAGACAGACAGACAGATAGACAGACAGTCATGTATGTATGTATGTATGTATAAATGTGTGTCTGTATGCATGTAATAATGTATGTATGAATGTGTGTATGTATGCATGTATGTAGGTATGTATATAATGTATGTATGTAGTTGTGTATGTATGTATGTAGTTGTGTATGTATGTATGTATACATATTTCCAATGCTTTACCCGAGGCGCCATCGTTCTTGACCCTAACGGGAGTGGTAGTTGCTCCGTCTGCTGTACGTAACACCAGGGGCAGGATCTGTTGGTGGCGAACTGTGTGGCCCGTCAGGTCAATGGGTGACTGGAGGCTTCTGCTGCATTTCTGGAACTTAGTCTTCCATTGGCGGGGCCCAACTGGGAGAGAAGAAATCAATTACTGTCTCTGTCTGTGCTTGTGATTCTATCTATCTATCTATCTATCTATCTATCTATCTATCTATCTATCTATCTATCTATCTATCTATCTATCTATCTATCTATCTATCTATCTATCTATCTATCTATCTATCTATCTATCTATCTATCTATCTATCTATCTATCTATCTATCTATCTATCTATCTATCTATCTATCTATCTATCTATCTATCTATCTATCTATCTATCTATCTATCTATCTATCTATCTATCTATCTATCTATCTATCTATCTATCTATCTATCTATCTATCTATCTATCTATCTATCTATCTATCTATCTATCTATCTATCTATCTATCTATCTATCTATCTATCTATCTATCTATCTATCTATCTATCTATCTATCTATCTATCTATCTATCTATCTATCTATCTATCTATCTATCTATCTATCTATCTATCTATCTATCTATCTATCTATCTATCTAATCTATCTATCTATCTAGTCTATCTATCTGTCTGTCTGTCTGTCTGTCTGTCTGTCCGTCCGTCCGTCCGTCCGTTCATCTATCTGTCCTTTCATCCAATCCAGCCACCCACTCTACCATCCGTCCATCCATCCATGCATCCATCCGTCCGTATTCTTCGTGAACTACAGTTATTCCCCCTTCAACTAAAGTTATTCCCCCTACAACTACAGTTATTTCCCTTTCAACTACAGTTATTCACCCACAACTACAGTTCTTCCCCCTACAACTACAGCTATTTCCCCTACAACTATAGTTATTCCCCCTACAACTACAGTTATCCCCCCCCCCCTACAACTACAGTTATTCCCCCACAACTAGGTTTTCCCCCTACAACTACAGTTATTCCCCCCCCCCCTACAACTACAGTTATTCCCCCACAACTAGGTTTTCCCCCTACAACTACAGTTACTCCCCCCCCCCAACAAGGTTTTCCCCTACAACTACAGTTATTCTCCCGACAACTTCCGTTATTCCCCCTACAACTACAGTTATTACCCCTACAACTACAGTTATTCCCCTACAACTACAGTTATTCACCTACAACTACAGTTATTCCCCTACAACTACAGTTATTCCCCCTAAAACTACAGTTATTCCCCCTACAACTACAGATATTCTCCCATATCTAGGTTTTTCCCCAACAACTACAGTTATTCTCCCTACAGCAACAGTTATTTCCCCTACAACTACAGTTATTTCCCCTACAACTACAGTTGCCTACCTGGGTTGTCAACAGCATCGTCATAACTCCAGTCATGATCGTCGTCCGCGTGACCTGCGCAATGGACAGTTTGAAAGACATGTTAGATGACTGTGTGATGTCCTAATATTGTTGATAGTGTCATGGCGCGTTTCCTAGGAAACACATTTTGCGTCACTTAAAGCACAGAACTCCTTTCCGAGACTAAAGCATAACGCCTTCATCTCCACATACCCGGTTTAGTCTTGGTCAATGGTCTCCAACCTTTCTCGTGTGACACCCACCCCTTTTTTAGGCGTCGTGGGGAGGAACAGTTTGCGATCCATTGATTGATGAGCAGCAATAGCTGTTGTCATTCCGCGTCGCTGTAGAAGCTCGTTAGTTTCAATCTCCTAGGGCAGCGGTTGTCAACCTGCCGGTCACGACCTTTTTTTGTGTGTGTGTGGGTCGGACGACCCTTTCACAGGGGTCGCCCAAGACCCTCAGAAAACACATATCCATTGAAGTTATACAGAGAAATAATTGTTTGGGGGTCGCCACAACATGAGGGAACTGTATTAAAGGGTTACCACAACATGAGGGAACTGTATTAAAGGGCATTAGGAAGGTTGAGAGCTACCCTTCTAGGGCAACCTCTTGCTTTCACTTCAGATCTGTTCAAAGGTAGCGAATGCGTTGGTAGTTGTTGTGTCTGCATTCTTAATAGATGACCAAACCATTTAATCTCCTGTTTCTCAATTAAATTGCTGCATGGTGTTGTTCCTTCAGTCTAATTTATAAGTTTTAACCTTTTCTTGGATGTTTACGTTGGCGGTTTTTCACGGGCATCTCATTTCACAGGTGGTAATGTTAAGCAGGTTCGCATTTCATAACAGCATTTGTCGAAGTCTGGCATTGGTAGCACTGTATTGGTATAAATATGTTGTTCATAATCCGTTTCTTGGCTCTCATCCTTATGTTTGGATGTCCTACTAACGGTGTCAGGAGGTAGATAAGAGCACAATGGCTCGTTGGAATTTCGTTTATATTTCCCGATTGATTAAAGAGATTTGAAGAAGATTAAAACGGCGTTCACTTTGTTCTCTTACCTTGGCTGGCATTGGTGGTGGCTCCTGGCCGGATGTCCGGTTGTCTCACGGAGTAGAGCCTCTGAGGTAAACTCGGTCGCCCTAGCAACGGTTTATGGATAGACAACAATCTCAGTATCATGGCGGAAGGCTGCCCAGTGCATACATACAATGATGAAAGCGTTTGTTGTAGTTTTAGTATAAATGATAATGCAAGTATTCAAATATTGATGCAGATGATCATAATATTTGGACCTAAACAACGACAATGACAAAATGATTATGTTTTTTTTTTAAACCCAGTGAAGTATATGGTTTGCACCTTAGACAGACAAAAAATAAAATAAAAAAATAACCAGTCCGACAGAAAGAGAAACAGAAAACCCGACAGACAGACTTAATGGCAGGCACATTTGGAGACAGTCAGACGGGTGGACGAAAGGACAGATGACAAACAATGACAGATAAACAGAGTGACAGACAGACTGACGGATGAACTACAGGTGGACAGACGAACGATCGGACGGACAGAAAGACAGACAGAAAGACAGAAAGACAGACAGACAGACAGACAGACAGACAGACAGACAGACAGACAGACAGACAGACAGACAGACAGACAGACAGACAGACAGACAGACAGACAGACAGACAGACAGACAGACAGACAGACAGACAGACAGACGGACGGACGGACGGACGGACGGACGGACGGACGGACGGACGGACGGACGGACGGACGGACGGACGGACGGACGGACGGACGGACGGACGGACGGACGGACGGACGGACGGACGGACGACCGACCGACCGACCGACCGACCGACCGACCGACCGACCGACCGACCGACCGACCGACCGACCGACCGACCGACCGACCGACCGACCGACCGACCGACCGACCGACCGACCGACCGACCGACCGACCGACCGACCGACCGACCGACCGACCGACCGACCGACCGACCGACCGACCGACCGACCGACCGACCGACCGACCGACCGACCGACCGACCGACCGACCGACCGACCGACCGACCGACCGACCGACCGACAGACAGACAGACAGACAGACAGACAGACAGACAGACAGACAGACAGACAGACAGACAGACAGACAGACAGACAGACAGATAGCCTACCTTGGTAAGCTCCAGACCTTAAGCCTAAAGCACCGAAGATGTTTTGGACCACAGGCTGAAGAATCGGCGCGGCTCCTGATGTCTGAAAGATACACACGAGAAAGAACGTGAGAAAGAGGGGCAGAGGCCGATCAGCACGAAGCTGGGCACAGGATATAAGGGACACCTTGTTTTGGAACGTGCACGTGACGTGACAGCTATTTAGAGACCGAGTTTCTTTGATGCATGCGTGATGAGAGCGACGTTCTGTAAAGGACTTGCTACATGATGACGAAACAAGAGACAGGACAACTGTTGAAAATGTATGTATTAATTAGGCAGCACGCCATTCGTCTGATGAATGTTCCTTCATTTCTTATTTCAGTCTATCATAGGCAGGTATCATTATAGCCCTCGTACAATTCCTGAATGGTTCCACTTAGGGACCCAAGACTTGTTTAAGTGCGTAAAAATAATCGTTTGGAGTTGTAAATACATACAAAAATATATTTTAAAACACGTGAAATGTATACATAAATAATTAAACTAATGACGTCTATACATACGGGGCGGGAAAGACAATTTTTACACATCGTTAGGAGAGAGCCTCTTTGGTCATTTATATATTTATATGAGTGAGGGGCCTGGCTGAAGTGACCTAAACCCTCATGTTCCGTCGCCCTTGCTGAATGCCTCAATGAGAAAGAGTCATTCATTCATTGGCACCCTTTCGTCTTTCCAGACGATAGTGTTTTATTGCGCTATGAGGAGCCATGAGACTCACAGCCCATGGCGATGGCGAGTGTGACTAGCAAGACCCGCCCGTGTTAAGAAAAGTCTTCCACAATGATAACATGAGATTTCAGGACCATTGTGAACAACATTTGTGTTTAATCCGTTTCTTTTCAGACACTCAGCTCTCAACCTTTCTGCAATCATTTCCTCCTTCAGTCGCATTCCCTTCCTGATATGACCTTTCCACACAACACTGTCTATGGCATTTTGTTCCCATGAGTCCGCCTCAGTACCTGTATCATTCATGTCCCGCTTGCACACATCTGTATACATTAGTAGAGGTCGGCCTCGACATCTTCTTCCTATCTTTAATTCACCACAAAGGATGTCCTTAGGGACTTTGCCATCCTCCATTCTCCAGGTGTGACCCAGCCACCTGAGCCTTCGTAGACTTAGCATGGAAAAGACTGTTGTAGTACCTGCTCTTTCCCGACCTCAGTATTTGTAATTTTGTCCTGCCACTTAATGCCAAGTATTCTTCTTAGGCATCGCATGTGAAAGCTATTAGGCCTTCTCAACCTATTTGCACCAAGAGAGACCAGAAAGACTAGCGTCACCAAATATTCACCGTGGTCAGAAATGAGGCTTCACAACCACTTCCGGGGTCGGTCAGTTCAACTGTGTCTGTCCCAACTGCCATCCATCTTGCCCGCTGGCGTAGACAATTATGTCTGCACAGATCTAGGTCATCGTTGCTAGTGCCGACTTAACACATGGACACGCTGGACAGTTCCCCCTGAAGCCTACGCGCCCTTGATAATATGTTTATTAATTCACTTGT